AAAATTATTTGGGGGCATGGCTCCCCGGCAGGTAAGTCCCACGTAGCCGGGGTCCCACTCAACTTACCCCTACTTCTGCCTCTGCGGTACTATCCCTCACTGCGGGGGCCTTGATCTAGCCCCTCCCCTCCCCCATGGACTGACCTGCTGGGCTGGGGATGGGGCACACACGTTCATGTACATGAACTCAGGCCTCCACCCCACCCTGGAATTGACTCCAAGAGGCTCTGAGATCTACCAGTTGATTGAGATCCACTGGTTGGTGACCACTGCTTTATGGCTATGGCTATAATCAGAGTAGAAAGTGATTATGCACACTGCTTTAACTAACTCAACTCCATACTAGTAATGGGGACTATTAAAGAGTACTGGGAATCTGGTCACGGAGCCTAGAGGTGGGATAGGATCTAGTCCACAAGATCCTAATTCTCCAGTTTGAACATTTGGTTAAATAGGTCCACCAAGAAATACAGGCCTTGTGTATTTGAGAGAAGATTTCTCTGGGAAAAGTGTACCATGATAACGTTGTTGGTGAAATTCCCTTGTGGAGATGCAGTTTATACTGGCATAGGAGAGCTGAGCTAGCATGGCTCATGCCACTTGTCTAAGGCATAAGCAACTGTAGCAGAAGGGCATTCTGACCAATTCAGACTTGCCTACACTGTGACTTTTGTGAGCACAGCAAGGTCAGTTGAGGTGATTTTTCCACCTGCTTAAAATGATAGAGCTGTGCTGGCAAACTGTGCGGTGTAAACCAGGCTGTAGAGCAAGAAGTCTAAAAGCACCTAAGAGTAAGGGGTGTGCGAAGCGGGCCCTATTCAATTCGGATTCAGATTCGGCCTGAATCAGGGACAATGATTTGATTAGTTGATTTAAATCGCTGTCCCTGATTCGATTCAGCCGAATCCAAATCTGAAGATTCGATACTGATGCAGGGAATGAGCGATTTGGACATAGACACAGCTTTAAATGTTTTTTCTACATACCTCGAGGTTTGTGAACACTGCAATGCTGGGGCACATAGAGCGTCCCACGGGAGTGCAGGGGGTCCCTCCACGTGCTTGGCAGCAAACCTGGAAGTGGACCAGAAGTACTTCCAGTCCACTTCTTGGTCCTCCAGGGAGCGCGCAGGGGGGCTCCACCCTTACCCCCCATGCTTGGCAGTCGCCCATGGGGGGACCCTGAGTGCCCCCCCAGACCCAGAAGGCACCAGTTGCCAAGCCAGGCAGACCCATAAGTGGACCAGAAGTGCTTCTGGTCTATTTCTGGGTCTGCTGTCGAGTGTGCTGGGGAGTCCCCCACACTTCTGAGGGATGCTCCATCCACCCCACCATCGCAGCATTCATAAGCCACCTGCTACCTAGAGGCATGTAGAAAAAACATTTAAAGCTGTGTCTGTGTCTGAATCTCCAAATTTTTCCGAATCTCTCTGAATCGATTCACAGGGTTCTGAATTGATTTGGAGAGATTAAAGGGTGCTCTGATTTGGTTTGGAGATTTGGCCACGGAATTGAGCCAAATCTCTGCTGAATCAAATCAGGGACCAAAGCTTCGTACAGCCCTACTAAGAGGATTTAGGAGTCCTAGTCCAATGGTACGTAATTTAGGCACTTCTGAACCTAAATCCTACAGACCGACCTATGGGTCTAGGGCCAGGTCTGGCCTGCAGCCTTCTCCAGTACAGTTCTGTGGCTCAAGAATGTGGTAATGGGTCATCCTTTGATCAATATAGTTCTGCCAAGGAAAACATTTATCAGGGATGCCATATCACTTTGGCAAAGTGCCATTCTGTTAGGACACAGGGCATGCATACTACCTGCATGTCCCAGTAGTATCAACATAAATTTCTCAGGGACAGACAGACTGGATTTGCTGCTCTCTTCTTCTAAAATATGGCTGGGGTAAGAGGGGAGTAGAAACCCCCCCACTGACATGAGTCTCTTCCTGGCTTTCCTGGTTGCAGGATCCACCAGGGAAAGGAGGCAGCGAACTTACCTCAGGTTCAATGGTACTTTGGTCCACTGACAAAAGCAGTAGGTTGTTCCCAGATAGGCACAGGAGTTAAAATGTAGTAAAGGCCTGTTGGCTTTATAGGGGCACCTGATCCTCTGTGAGCAGTGTGGACATGCTGGAGAACGTATACTACACTAAAATCAGCAGAATGTGTTATTTCAGAAAGGGGAAGGAGCTTTGCTTTTCCTGGTTAGGCCTGCCAGAGCCTGCAATTGCTCAGGTCTAAGGCAGAAAAACACCAGGTCTTATTTTCCCCAGTCCCTCATCTAATAACCACAGTAAAATTTTACTTTGACACCCTCTATAATGTGGGAAGACCTGAGAGTTATATACATCAACAAAAATACCATTTTAGAGCAATTGGTTTAATTATCTTGAAATCAGAGAATCCCTGCTCCAGAAGCATCACCTCTGGACCTGCACCATGCACGTGACTCCCTGCAGTGCCCACAGAGGTGTGTGGGCTGAGGGGCTGCAAGACCAGGCACCCATCCATCTTTCTGTGTAGACACGGCTGATAGAAAGGGAGCATAATTGCCTGGAACTAGGAGAACAAAGTAGAGGGGGCATTTCAGCTGTTTGTGATGTACTGTATTTCAGTGCTTAACAGGATGCAACAGTGGCCTTGGTGCATCTTGTGATCACAGGACATTTGCAGACCCAGAAGTGACAAAAGAAGATATCACTACAGCAACTGAGCAATGGCAAGTAAGACTGCTACAAGACAAAATACTCAGTGCCAGTGTGGTATCTGCTGGATAACAATAAATACAGGTTTTCTATCCTTAGATTGTTGCTGTTGGAAACTAATTCTGGTGAGGAATTCAGAATTTTTTCATTGCATCAGTAAACCAAGGGCTGTGGATGGTGAAACATACGAACACAAAACTGAATGTGGGGCTATCAAGCCCAGTACCTTGTATTTTCAGGCACCCATTTACCCAGGAAGTCCCACAAATTACCTCTTCAAACCCTCATGCACAGGTACAAGGCACAAAGCCAAAAACTCCAAGAATGTCCAACAACATGCAATTTGAGGGTTAACCCCCTGGCTACACTGAACCCCCCCGGAAGCAGTAGCATTTCCCATAGGGACAGGGTGGTAATGAGGATGGTAAGGAGACCCCTGCCACCACTCCTTGCAGCTGGAGCCTCTAGCCCCACTACTTCCATTCTGTTCCCTTCTCCTGCCCCTTCCTTTCTATGCTTAGCACCTGGGGGTAATACCCCAATTTCCTATCCCTAGTTACACTACTGCTCAAGGAATTCTTGAAAAAGGGCCCCACCCCATGCTACAGAGGAAGGCAAAAGCTCCCCACGGTTCTGAGCACTCTAATCTAGAGCAAAAATTGTTTCCTCATCTCAGATTTGACAACTAATATAACCCTAATGGGAAGATCAACTCCCTCCAGTCAAGAACCTCTGAGTTTTGAAATACAAGTATCAGCACAACCCAGCCAAAACCCACAGCCTTAGCTGTAGCCAACATGCCAATGCTCCAGAAGTATGTAAAAAATACCCCAGAAGCCAAATACAGCATTTATATGGGGAGAAATTCATTCCCAGCGTCTTCAAGTGATCAGCAAATGCCTTAAAAGCATAGGGTTGCCTATCACAACTGGTCTGTTATTGCCATCTTGTGGCTGTGGGTTAAAATCACAAATGAGAGAATACACAACTTGGGGATATTGTTCAACTGTCTTGGTTTGTAAATTCATTTTTAATGGAGGACAGAATAGTTTCCAGTTAACAGATGGCCAGTCTAGAGGCAGTGAGAGCACTGACTGCTGTGTGGACACAGATAAAGAAGTTGCACAGTGTCCTTACAACACTTGCACAAATACACAGGGGATTTCTCCATTTACCCACAGCAATTTAATAGCTACTACTGTTCACACTCATATATTTTGTGAGAACCAAGGCTGAAAGAGCCAGTCCCACCAAAATCAAATATGCACAAACATAAGCAGAGATAAATTTTAATAGCAAATTTAATAATGAAATACAGAAAAGATATAAATGGCTAAAAAAGTACAGGTAAGGCATATCAAATAAATGATAAAACATTTATAAAGTGCACATTTATCTAAATGCATAACAATCCATTGACATTTGAATGTAAATTAATCTTAAAATTAAGTTCTAAAGTCTTAAAAAGTCTCTAACAACTGACCAGTCTGATACTGAAAAGGATATTTTACCTAGGTTTCAAGTGAAGTTTTAAGAGTAACCTTAGCCCATCTACAGATGAGCTATTCCTCAAAACCAGCAGGTCAAGGCTGAAGAGCAAAGATTCCTAGATGAACCCAGATTTTATATTCTGGGCTTGGCTAAAATATCAAAAAGCTTACTAAGTAAGGTGTACACACACACACGCGCGTGCGTGCCAATTGCCTGTCAAGAATAATGGGGGTGGGGAGGGCGGGGGCAGAGGCCTGTGTCTGGCCCCTGTCCCGCACTTCAGGTATGGCCATGCTCCCCTGTCCCCGCCACTTCGGCTCTGGGCCCATTTCCCCCACCCCTGCACTCCAGGTCCACCCAGCCTGCATCCACCTGCTTCCCCTCCCTGCTCCCCTCTCTCCCAGCTGTTAGCGGGGCCTAGCAGCAGCAGAGCACCATCACCGTACCCCGCCTCTCCGTCCCCCTCCCTGCCAGCTTTTATCAGTGCCCGGTGGCAGCAGGATGGTGGCGGTGTGCTTCCTGAAGTCATGGTGGGTGGGGACAGAGTCCTGCATCCAGCCCCATCCCCACTTGTCATCCAGGTGGGGGAGGGGGCAAACAGGCACACTCCCCCCACCCTTGCCCCCTGCCTCAGGGCTGAGCCTGTCCTGTCCCCCCCACCATTTTGGGGCTGTTGCCAGGGCACGGCTCCACCACCGTGCCTCCCCTTCCCCCAGGGCCCAGCGGCCCCACGTACACCCATCTCCAGCTCCACCCCCGCTTCTCATCTGGCTGGAGGCAGGGGGAACAGGCCCACTCCTCCCACCAATCTGCCACCACTGCCTGCAGGGAGCGGGGGGCAGGCCAGCTGTTCCCCCATTCCGTCCCCTGTGTTCCCGCCATCATGACTGGGGGGGCAAGGACAGAGGCCTGCATAGACAGACTAACTTACTGTGCATCTGCATGTGTAAATGGTGATGCTTTACTATGCAGTAAATTAGTCTACTGCATAATAAAGAGTCTTGTTTAGACACACCCAGCATTCCCAGTAGGTGCTTTTCTAATTAATATTCATATCCCTATTCTTATTATATATTTAAACTATATCTTGTCTAAAATTAGCCGTGTCTAACCAATAAATGTACTTTAAGTGACTTTTAGTGAAACCTTTGTCCTAGTTTTTTTCCATTTCATCTTTCTTGAATTTGCTAAAATGGTTCGCACCTTGTGATAATCTCTGGTCTATTTATTTCCTTTGCCTCTTCTTCTCTTAGCCAAACTTTGGTCAAGCAAGTGCTATACCATATCACTGCAGACAACTTAAGGCCTACAATAGTGTACACTGCTTTTATTACATGCATATTATGTCTTAGCATGATTGAAGGATCACCACAGGGAGGGCACAGGGGGGTCCCTGCATGCTCAGTGGCAGACCCTTAAGTGAACTGGAAGTACTTCCAGTCCACTTCCAAGTTCACCACCGAGCATGCGGGGGGCCTCCCCATGCTCCTCTGGGACCCTCCATCTGCCCCACCATCACAGCATTCATAAGCTGTGCCTGGTACCTCAAGGTATGTAGAAGAAAGATATAAAGCTGTGTCTGTGGCTGAATTGCTGATTCTCCGAATCAGCATCACATCTTCGGATTCGGCCGAATCAAATTGGGACAGTGATCTGAATCAACTAATGGAATCGCTGTCCCTGATTCAGGCTGAATCCAAATCTGAATCAAATATGGCCTATTTTGCACACCCCTAGTATTCAGTCTTAAGAGTTGGTCTCTGGCCTTGATTAACTCAAATCAGGTACATTGTTGCATGGCCGGTTCTTGCTGAACTGGCCCACTAGGCCAGCAAGGACTGGCAGCTGCACATCATACAGCAAACTTGGGACATGAGCAGTGGTTGGAGGCATTCCACATGACTTGGGCCACCTTCCAGGATTCCCCTGGAGTAGCTCTGGCCACACCTGGAGCAGCAGCACACTGCCATGCTACCAGCCCTCCCCGCAGACACCTGGCTGGCCCTTGCCTTGCTCAAGTTGGCCACAGCCACCATCCTGCAGTACATTGGCCACCTGTATGGTGTGGGCAAGACCACTGTTGGGGAGTGGAGGGGTTCAATGGCCTGGGATTCCTCCAGTGCATCGGGACCCTCAAGGGGCCCCACATCCCTGACACCTGCCCACCCCACAGAGACCGCCCCTATTACAGCCAGAGGGGCTTTCACTCCATGGTACTTCAGGCGTCATGGACCACTGTGGGGCCTGCATGCATTTGCGCACTGGCTGGGTGGGCAGTGCTCATGATGCCTGCATCTTCAGGAATTCTACCTGGCCAGCCCTGGTGCAGAACGGGCGCTTCATGCCGGTGATGCCAGACCTGCAGCTGGGCGCTGTGGCAGTCCCGCCACAACTCATGAGGGACCCCTCCTACCTGCTCCTGCCCTGGCTCATGAGGCCCTACATCAGGCAGCTGGACCCCTACTAGGCCCTCTTTAACTGGTGCCTTGGCTGAACTTGCACCCTGGTGGAGCACATCTTCAGCCACCTCAAGAGCTGCTGGCGCACCCTCACTGCCCACCTTGAGTTCGCTGAGAACAACCTCCCCTCGGTCATCATCGCAGCCTGAGCACTGCATAACATCTTTGAGGCCCACGGGAGCTTTTCCATGAGGACTGGGTGGAGGAGGTGCAGCAGGCAGAGGATGTCTGGCAGCGGGAGCACCACCTGTGGCAGTGACAGCCAGGGTTGTCCTGGGCGGGGTGGGGGGAGTGGGATCAGGATAACCACCCTGGGCCCTGCGCTTTGGGGGGCCCACACAGTTGGGCAGAGTGGCCACATCCAGCTGCTCACTATCCCCTCCCTCCCAGGGCGCGCAGGATCAGGGCAGGGGTGGGGCCTCGCACAGGCTGGTTTGCTCCAGGCCCTGCACCATGCTTGGGTCAGCTCTGGTGACAGCCACCCCCTGCTGAGGCCCCAGGAGAGCTGCACACCCGCCAGTGGGGCCACAGCACTGTAGACATATCTCAGAAGAGCAAATTTTTATTCCCTTCACATCAAACAGACCCCCCTCCCCAACAAACAGATCCCATCCACCACCAACCCCACCTACCACCAACAAAACACTTTCTTCCCCATGAAAACATTGTACAATGTCCTCTGTGTGCTGTCACCACAACTGAAAGCATGGAAAGGAGACAAGTCATCTAACAAGTGAGAAGTGTTTTGTTCTGTTTTGTTTCTTTTCAGACACAAAAGGTAAAAACAAAGTTCATAATGCTTTCTATAGTGATTAATGTAGATCATTGCTGCATGGAAAACATGGAATACAAATGATCTCCAGTATAACAAAACACAAACCCGGAGATTGGCTAGTAGCAGAAGGGAGTGAAACACAATTACAAAAATAAGGAAGTATGACTTGGAAAAATCTCTATAAACACTGGAAAACTGAACCTTTACAGTGGGCAAAAAGAGATGCATATACATGGTTGTCAATAAATGACAATGACTATTGCAGTCAATCCCTTTCCCGTACAGGGTGCCTAGTGGTCCAAGTCACAGCAATACAGTTTTATTTTTGGTTAGATGTATCCTTCCATGCTTTCTCTAGTACAAGTGAAAATATTATATACACCCATCTTAATAATAAAGTTTAATCATACAGGGTTATGCCAAATTGCATGGAAGCTAGTTTCCTAAATACAAAATTACCACATATTCCACAACCACCATCCAAATACCTACAACCCCAGATCCTGCACCCTGTAGTACAATAATCCCTGGAAATCCATTGCAAATTAAAATTGATGGTAAAGCTACAGCAATTAAAATACAATACTGTAGACAATAACATGGGTTATACCCTTAAATGGTTTAAATATTAGTCAGATTTATAAAAACCGTAGCAGGTATGTCCAACCTATTAATGATTTTTTAATCAGTGGGAAAAAAGGTGCTCCGGAGGGTAGTAAACATGGTGGGGGGAGCAGGGGGCAGACAGTGGAAAACAACAGAGGAAGACAAGATCACTTGGCCACAGTCTTGGGAGGAGCATGAATGGGCCTGGGGACCCTAAACCCCATGGATATTTAAGTTTTAGTTAACAAAGCTGCAGCAATGGGAAATGAAATGAGCAAATTCCGGAAAATATAGGCAAACATAAACAATGGATTGTCAACACTAAATTATATGGTGATAGATGTAATGACTGGTGTAGTTCTTCAAGTTTATCCAAAATAGGAAAGGAAGTAATAGCTATTAAACAACTTAGCAGCTGAACAGGCTGGGCTCTAGCTTGCATGCAAGCACAAGAATCTCTCCAAGAGGAAATCAAAGAAATAGTGTTGTTCATTGGTTTTCAACAAGTAGCACTAGTTTTAAATTACTAGGCTAATAATTCTCTTTCTAATTTGCAAGAAACCACCAAGACTGGTGGAAGATATTTGTAAAGGTGTGACCCAGATCAATGTTTTATTACTATAGTAACACCAGAAGAAGGGAAAAAGTATATCCAGTAGTCTCTATTAGTGTACTAGTAAATTAAATAGTTATAGAACCTGACTATCAACCCAAGTGAGTAATAAAGAAAAACACAATACATGGGCTTCAGTAGATCTATCATTCTGCCTTTAAAACCCTGGAGGAGGAAAAGGTTAACCTGGTCAGTGGCAATACTTAAATGAAAATTGCTGGGAAAGCCAAATGGAGTGTACCTTAAGGGGAAAATAGGGAAGTAAACAAGAAGTCTAATATCATGGGGAAGGGAAGGTGTGTTTTCATTCTCTCCTAGGTGTTGTGAGCATAAACAGAGAGATGTGCCCACTGCAAGTGGGAATATATTGCCTGAACAGAACAGTGACTGGTATGATTTGAGTAGATGGAGTTCCATTCAGAGTTACAAGAATCATGAAGGAAAATTGAGACATTCAACTAAGTTTTAATTTACATCTAACTCCTATCAATATAGGACCATCCAATGATCTTTTGCAACAAATTACAGGTTTTTCCAATCTATGACAAAAGCTAAGACCCTTCAAACATTCCTCAGATCACCTGGAGCTAATTGTAAAACATAACAAACAAAAACTGATACAAGCTTCAGCCCTTATTAAAGACATTAGCCGTCGCAGTTAGTGGGAAAGGTTGTTAAGTTGGTCTCCAACCACTACCTTCAAGAGGAGACTGGATAGGCACCTGGCTGGGGTCTTATGACCCCTCCCACCCCCATGCTCCTTCGTGCCCATGGCGGGGGGTCGGACTCGATGATCTGTCTAGGTCCCTCCCGACTCACTGATTCTATGATTCTATGACTATACATCCAAGAGTCATGATTGCAGTAATTCAAATTATATATATAATGTTCGTAAATCTATTAGCTGCATATGTACAGAAAATATGTCAGGATACATGTGGTCAACCAGGAATTAAACATTCTCCAAGCTTTATTTCCCAAAGTGTAGGAGCTGGACCACCTCGTGCATAGTTAGCATTTTATCAGCCAAGAACCAACTCAAGGCAAGGTGCTGGCAGTGACCTGGCTTCAGTGGTGATGTATCCTGAGGCCATACTTGGCCATTTTCAGCCTATTTTTGTGTAACCACAGTGCCACAGTGTGAACCTTTTCAGATGTGACTACTAACTTGGTCAGCAAGTAAATGACACACACACACA